CCCATCTGATCGACCGGGAGGCTCCGGCCACCGTGTCCCCAGAATAGTAGCCGGCAAGTACCCCGGGTGGCAGTTTGGAAAGGAAATCACATTAAGCCCCTAACCGGGAGAGGCAATGCGACTCCCTAGTGCTTTACTTACGGGGTTCCCTGTCCGCGAAAAAAAAGGAGTCTCCTTAGTGTTAAATCCGCTGGATCCCCAGCGAACACATTCGCTGGCATGCCAATGACAAATGAAGAAATCTAGGATCATTCGAAATAAAATGGGCCAAGTCTGGTGATTTTTTGGGGCGCCTTTTCACTGGGAGCCCTTTCTCAAGCTGTATGCCGCCCCTACCCCTTTTTACCGAAACTTTGGCCTCTCTGCTGATATAAGGTGAAGTTTGTGGATCTGTGATGGGCTCTTTTCAGGCCTAAGTGTTTGAATTTTCCTTTCCGAACCTGCGATTCCTACTTTTTCAGTCAGTGTGCCATTTTATAATTTAAGAAGGGCCCTATTTGAACCTACGATGGGCCCTTTCCAGACCTAACAGGGCCTTTTGTGCTCATGATGGACACCACCCAGGCCTGAGACGGACCCCTCCGAGTTAACGATGGGCCTGTCCTGACCAGAGCCGGGCTCTTTTGAGTTTACAATGGACCCTTTTTAGACCGGAAAATGGCCCTTCCCGTGCCTGAAACTATTATAGGGGTTTCCGCTCTTGAAATTTACCCTTTCCGACCCTGAGGTGGGCTCTCTAAGCTTACTTTGATTAAACACAATAAACTGCTTTCTTCCACAAATCCACCGTGGGCCCCATTTAGGCAGCCTGAAATCCGGGAAAAAATGATTTTGCCCTTACCTCATACATGCAGGCCAATTTGCCTCGCGGATGCGACGTCACTGGCTTCCTGAGCCTGTGATGGGCGCATCCCACGCCAGAGATGGGCCTCCCCAGATCCAAAAAGTAAAATAGGTCTTTTCTGAGCCCAAAGTTCTCCGTTTCTCAGCCTATACAGGGTCCCTGCATGACTTGAGACGAGTCATTTCTGAGCTTATGATGGACCCTTTTTAGACTTGAGAGGGCCGCCTCTGAGCCTACGGTGGGCCCTTTTCCTGATCTGAGACAGGTCCTTGTTGAGCTTACGATGAGTCCTTTCCTGATCAGAAAGGAGCCCCACCGTGCCTGGAAGTGGCATGTGTGTTTTCCCGTCTTGAAATAAGCCGTTTCCTGCATAAGATGGGCTCTTCGCGGACACGAAGCAACTCCCTTCTGAGATTAAGATGGCCTTTTCGGGACGGGCCCTCTACGCTTGCTTTGGTAACAAAATAAGCAAGTACTACTGCATACCCGAGGGCCCTGTCTGAGCCATCTGAAATTATGGGGGGCAAAAAGATGCTTCTACCCCCACCTCAAAAGACGGGGAGGTAGTTTACCCCGCTGCCCTCCCCCCCCCCCCCCCCCCAGGTACGTCGCCACTGGTCTGAGAAACCGCACGTACGGGGCTTGATTTCCCGCGGTGCCCGCCGCTCCCGCCAGGATGGGAGGCTGGCGGCGCCATATGGCCCCAGCAGCTGAATGCGCATAAAGCCCCGATGAAACGTTCGTAATCTCGGGGAACAATGCCAGGGATAGCTGGAGTGGCAGTTTTCGTAAAACCGAACAGCGTTGGGCACTGCAAGTAACGCCAGGGGGTGGGCGCCGAGCGCGCAACGAAGACCATCGTGAAATAATGTGTTTTGGTGTCTTTCAAAATCACTTCGTACGGTTCAAAGATTACACCGGACGGATCTTTTCATGACTTGAAGCAGGGGCGGATCTAGCCTGGAGTTTTGTGGGGGGGGGGGGACAACCGTTCGCCGCCAACTGACTGGTGTGGGATCCGAGGTCCAGTGCATGGTGGCTCTCGCGAATACCTAGTAGGGACACATTCAAGACCGAAGAAACGCCGAAATGCTTTTGAACCTTAAACAGAAGTTAAGATAAAACAGAACAGTTAAAGTTAAAACAGACGGTAAGTAGACGAAACTTTTAAAAAAATTCTGGGAATGTTTGGGGAGGGGGCAAAACATACTCTCAGAGGTTTTGGGGGGCCATGGCCCGGTGCGCCCCTCCCCCCAGGATCCGCCTATGACTTGAAGGTTGTCCTCTAGACGGACTTACAATTACAGCAACGCGGAAAATAAATATTTTACCTTTATTTTTCCCGTTCCACCACCAGATTTCTGCACCACTTCGAGGTGCTACAAAGGCCAATACGTTACTGCCATAAATCTTAAAGCCACACACATGAAATATTCTCAGATACGTCTCTTAATGTACAATTTGGTGTCAAAAAGCGTTCAAAGGTACTTCTTTCAGATGCATCCCTTTTTTCGTCCGCCCGTTGGCGTAGTGTTAGCAGCGAAGCCGACGATGCGCGGCATAAAGAGATTGCAACGCCTGACGCCGAGTTTTTGTTACTGGAATGTGCGAAAGTGCATGCTCAAAGCTACGTCACATGATTTATACCACTTATCAATTCTGACTGGATGTTGAACATATCCAGACAAACATGGCTTGGCTTGTTGATACAAATTGTCTACCCATTTTGGATCTCCAGTCCACTTTCGCGGAAACCTTGCTATCCCCGTACAACCCAGATAAAGATTTTAACGAAGTTTCTGAATTTTATCGGTTTGAAAATCCATTGGGCGATTGCAAAATGAAGAGCGCCGGTGATTTATTTCATACAGTCATTTATCGCGTGGCGTGCTCAATTTATTCACTTAAACTTAGGCTGAATCGGTCTCGAGGTAGCGCCTGGCCTATTTTTCAATTAGAGGTGAGTAATCAGGGGCGGATCTAGCCTGGAGTTTTTTTTTGGGGGGGGGGGGCGACCGTTCGTCGCCAGCTGGCTGGTGTGGGATCCGAGGTCCAGTGCATGGTGCCTCTCGGGAGTACCTAGTAGGGACACCATTCAAGCACCCAAATGCTTTTGAATCTTAAACAGAAGTAAAAACAAAGCAGTTAAAACAGTTAAAGCTAAAACAGGCGGTAAGTAGACGAAAATTTTATGAAGTTCTGGGAGTGTTTTGGGGGGCCATGACCCCGTGCCCCCCCCAGGATCCGCCTATGTGAGAAATGTATGATTTATGCATATGCCTATATATATATATATATATATATATATATATATATATATATATATATATATATATATATGTGTGTGTGTGTGTGTGTGTGTGTGTGTGTGTGTGTGTGTGTGTGTGTGTGTGTGTGTGTGTGTGTGTGTGTGTGTGTGTGTGTGTGTGTGTGTGTGTGTGTGTGTGTGTGTGTGTGTGTGTGTGTGTGTGTGTGTGTGTGTGTGTGTGTGTGTGTGTGTGTGTGTGTGTGTGTGTGTGTGTGTGTGTGTGTGTGTGTGTGTGTGTGTTGTGTGTGTGTGTGTGTGTGTGTGTGTGTGTGTGTGTGTGTGTGTGTGTGTGTGTGTGTGTGTGTGTGTGTGTGTGTGTGTGTGTGTGTGTGTGTGTGTGTGTGTGTGTGTGTGTGTGTGTGTGTGTGTGTGTGTGTGTGTGTGTGTGTGTGTGTGTGTGTGTGTGTGTGTGTGTGTGTGTGTGTGTGTGTGTGTGTGTGTGTGTGTGTGTGTGTGTGTGTGTGTGGTGTGTGTGTGTGTGTGTGTGCATAGGCATATATAAATAAAAGAAAACATGTCCTCAATAACAAATGGATCACATGCGGCGATTTTTTAAAGGCCCTTTTACCATCAGGGGGCACTCTATCAACCCTGCGCCTCCCTTGCCAAAGCTCTGACTACGCCGCTGCCTAACAATGAAATTTTGTGGTCTGCCATTCTAGATACGCTTACACCAGCACAAAGCTTAGGAAGGTTATCTTTATGAACTATTACAAATGTTCCTAAGTAGCGAGCAAATGAGGAGGGTGAAGAGTGATATAGCCAGCAAATTTTGAAGTAACGAATGTGATCCGGCACTGTGGTCATTTCGACCTAACACGCGTTCGGGTAGGGGTCAAATTGACCACCGAAAGGTTTTTTCCAGAATGGCTCCCGAACGGTGCGGCGCAGCCGCGCCAAGTTCTTGATTGCTATGGACGATTGAATAGTGGATCGTTTGATATAAAACATTGGATATACATTGTAAGGTCGCTGACCTACGGCGTGTCAAAATCAGGCCATGAATATTGCGAAGTCAATTTCTAGGGAATCGTTCAATCTGATGCAACAACGGAGTGTAAGACCAGGCGACACATCTGTCAGATGCATGTTTAGGCAACGCAACAGTTAAATGAACAAATTCCATTGACTTAAGGTCATTTTAAAAGGTCAGACCAAGGTCAAAGCCAACCTGTTTTGTTGCCCTGTATCTAACTGCCCGGGGCACTTTCAACATTTCGTTTTTAGAAACATACTGCCAAGCGTAATATTTATCGCTCATTCAGATGCAAAACTCAAAGCAGTCTTGTATGGTTTTGATCACCATGACCTTCGAAAGGTCAAGGTCACTGACCTTAAATGATCATGTGATTCTTCGCTTAGAACAGGCATCTAGGTTCTGGGGCACTGTGGAGACCAACGTGGAGATTGACCTTATTTGACCATGTTTGACCCAAATGTCCTGGCCTAGGAACCTGAAACGTTGATCTGAGTGAGTTCTGGTACAGGCCATCACACTGCAGATTTAGTGTCTCTAGTCCTCTTAGTTCCTGGGATCTCAGGGGGTCAAATTGACCCCCAGCCAGAGTGAAGAGTGTCTAATCGGCCATCCAGGCACGGTTTACGAAAAAGTCATTTTGTTACTCATCACTTGCATTTTAACAATATCATTGGGACTTGACTGGCACCTTGCAACCTTTAGGTTTTTGCTTTGCTGTCAAAATTTTTGAATTGAAAAGAAACCTTGCTTTGTTTACTAGTTTGTACAACATAGGTAGGAAAAGCAAATGTTTTTTTTTCTTATTTTCTGCTGAGATAACTAACAGCTGACTGAATCGTTGGTTTTGTCGACAAAGCGTAGTTGTTTACCCTCAACTTTCGACTTGTCTTTGCGCGTACAGATGTCTTTAAATGTCCGGAAAATCATTAACAAAATTAGCTGTTAACATTACGTAAATATACCCAAATTGTCAACAACATAGTCGCTCCTTTTGAACAGGTAAGCCACTGGGGCATCGAAAGTAGGATGCAAGGGCGCGGGAATTATGGTCAAGTTGTGGGACGAACTTCAAAAGGCCAAATTGACCCACTTTCTTATCAAAAAAAGCCCATACAAGCCAGAATGGGTCCTATACAGGTCAGAATGGGCTCAAACAGGCCAGAATTCGCCATCTGCAGTCCGGCACGGGAGCATTACAGTTAATAGTTGGCGTTCTACAAGTCAGAATAGGCGATTCAAGTAGTTAATGGACCCTCTTCACATAAGCATGGGCCAATACAGTCAATAATGAGCCATCTACAGGTTAGCTGGGGTTACTAGGCACTACAGATCAGAATGGTATCTGTATGCGTCAGAAAAGGCCCTCGGTAGGCCAGAATTAGCTCTGTAAAGGCAACAATGAGTCATCTACAGGCCTGAACCAGTCCCTCTGCAGGCCAGAGCGGGGCCCTCATAGTCCATGATATGCCCTGCACGTGTCAGAATGGGCCCTCTGCAAGCCAGAATGAGCCCTCCACGGGCTAGAATGGGCTCTCTACAGGTCAGTATGACCCCCTACTGGCCACAATGAACCCATACATTCAAAAGAGGCCTCTCTTTTAGTCAGAACGGCCCCCTTCAGGTCAGAATAGCTCCTTACAAGGCAGAATGAGCTCTCCGCGGCCCATAATGGACCCTTTTCTGGTCGGAATGCCTCCCCCACCAGAATAACCCCCCGCAGTCGGTAATACGCGTGCACCAGGCCAGAGTGGGCCCCTTACAGGCCAGAATGGCCCTGCAGGTTAAAATTGATCATCTACAGTCCATGCTGATCATCTACAGGGTATAATGGGTCCTGTACAAGCCAGACTGGGCCCTCCGTAGGCCAGAATGGGCCTTCCACAGGCCATAATTATCCTCTGCAGTCAATAATGGTCCGTCTACAAATCAGAATGGGCCTCTTCGGGCCGAAATGGGCCCAAAATTGCACTCTTGGTCAGAATTGACACTTATTAGGCCAGAATGAGCTCTCGACAGGTCAGAATGGACTTTTACAAGGTTTCATAATCCCGTTACAGTTCAGAATGGGCCTTAACATGCCAGAATGAGCCCTCCACAGACCCTCCAAGTTGGGAAAGGCGCCGACCCCCACCATTCAAGTTGGGGAGGGGATGGGGGCGAACTACCCCCACTGTTTCCTCCCCCTCCTGGTTCTGCGCTCTTGCTCCATGACTGGTCAGTCGCCATTGAACACCTGGGAGCGCTTGCAGAGGCGCCGCCAGTGCTTGATTCCAGGGAGGCGTAGCCGCTCGACAGTGAAAGGGGGGGGGGGGGGCTCATAACCAGAGCAGGTTAATTTGTTGGAATAAAGCACGTCTACTGGGGAGAGACAAAAGTCCATGCCCCCAGAGCTTGATCGAAATTTAAACGTGTTTGGTACTTCACGCAATCGGTTTTCATCGTTTCACCGACGCTTCTGCGGATATCTTTTCGATCGATCCTTCGGATAATGTTCATAGTGATATTTGAACATCGTGCTCCGCTGTTTATGTTTAAGTGTTTTTGTACTAGTCCAGGGTAAAAGGCTGTGTGTTATTCGGAGACCATGCAAAGCATGTCTACTCAGCGCGCACTCTGCCTCCCCCCCCCCCCATCTTGTAATGCTATTTTGAGGTTAATTCTGTAGACTATACTTTATCACAAGAAGTGTGGGGGGAGGTGTGGAGAGGGGGGGGGGGGAGACGGGTTAAAATGCGGAACAAGGGTTGGACATACACCGAAATCCACAGGAAGCACTTGTTTCATTTTGACCCATTTTATTCCGAAAGCTGGGACAACAGCCCCCCCCCCCCTATCACAACTTAGAGGGAAACTAGGTAAATAACAGCTGAACTTCCATAACAGCAGTAGAGGTCAAGCCATCGAAGTACTTCATTGACTTCTACTGGCGGCTATGCCCTGTCCGGACTGCGCAAGGATCGGATAGCGCGGGAAGTATGAAATCGGGTACGTTCGTCAAGATTAACCCAAAGTCTGGCACGTTCGGCAAGATGATTGAAAACCACATGGAGAGAGTCCGATCACGCGCTGCACGGAGGGCCACCGTCGCGAGGCGGGCGCCGAACTGGGCGAGGGATCAGCGGTGCAGGAGAAGTTGAATCCCCTGTGCACTCAAGCTGGACAATACATTTTTTGTACCGAAGAATGTGTATAGCGCCATGCGACGCCATGCTTCGTGAGCTCCATAGGACTCCCCTACTTGTTGGAGACAGACAAACTATCACGGGGATGAACCTGAGCACTTCATAGCTGTCACATGCTGTCTGCGAGTCAGTGCGCGGTCAGTGTTATCATATGGACGATGTGAGTCACTCCATCCATCGAGAGTAGTGCGCAGTCAGTGTTATATGGATGATGTGAGTCACTCCATCCATCGAGGTAGTCACTCCATCCATCGAGAGTAGTGCGCAGTCAGTGTTATCATATGGACGATGTGAGTCTCTCCATCCTTCAAGATAGTCACTCCATCCATCGAAAGAAGTGCTCAGTTTTATCATATGGACGATGTGAGTCACCCCATCCATCGAGGAAGTCACTCCATCCATCGAGAGTAGTGCGCAGTCAGTCTTATCGTATGAACATTGTGAGTCACTCCATCCATCGAGGTAGTTTAAAAAGTTATTGTTTGGTCGGGAAAGCACTGATTACGCGCGCCCGTCTGGGGCCTGTCCTGAAAAAATAGGACAATAACAATCTGCAGCAGAGTTCGGCATTACCTGCAAAGGTTTTATAATGAAGCCCTTTCACGCAGGGTTGTGGTTTACTGAGACAGGGATCGTTGTTAAACAAAGGAGGCGTGCTTGTCTTTCTGAGAACAACCCATGTATCCCGTGGAGAAGCACACGTGCATGCTATTCCGAATCCTCACGCTCGGTGAACAAAGGGCTGCTCTGGCGGCCTGGAGCGACACAGTGCCTTCGGGGGATCACCGGGCCTGAGGATCCTCAACATGCGCTCGGGTGATCCCCTCGCCACCCCCGCTCGCTTGCGAAGGTTTTTACCAGAAAAGCTTTCGATCGATGCAACATAGCTTCGCCAAACTTTGGGTCGATGCAGGTCACCAATAACCGATGTTTTGGCGTGAAAAATTAGATACGCCTTACCCGGTTGCTGGTCTGTAGCTGTTCGCAGTCAGACCTTGTTGTCAGCGAAGGCATTTCTAGGGAAAACTTCCAAACTGGTGCAACATCGGAGTTTTGAGACTGTTTTAGACCGTTAGAGAATTGAACTGGATTATAGGAGCAGCGTCCAGGTCAAAGCGGTTTGAGTGAAGACGTTTGAAAGCACTTTGGACACCGATCTCGAGAATAGCCTTGTGTGACCTATATATATATATATATATATATATATATATATATATATATATATATATATATATTCGACAATATTTGACATTATTTGACAACATGTATTGAATTTGACCATATTTTTGGTCTTATCTACATTTTCTGGTTTCTTATGTTCCATGTGCCGATATTTGTCTGACCCGAATGTCACACCCTAAGGATCATATTATATATTCACACAGACGAGCTTTCGAAGAGGGCCACCTGCTTCATGAATCTGCTATCTAGCTCTCTTAATTTGTAATACCTCAGAGGGTTAAACTACCCGTCCCCCCCCCCCCCCCCACCCGAGCGCTTTGTATTCAACGGAACACCTGCGCGCGTGCTAAAAGTCATGAACCCAAAGCGACGTACGCGAATCCAGCACCACGGATACTGGTCGGTGCATGGTTAATCCCGCTACACGACGACCTGGCCGAGCAGGCCCAGGAAAAACCCACCAAAGCCAGGCTTGAACTCCGGCCCATTGTCAGAATTCGAAGGCATTCATGATTTGACTGCGGACGGAGGATCCGCCACCGGCACCGGCGCGTTCGTAAACTAACCGTGTCCCCAGACAGACTGCCACCTGCCACTCCCAGGTGGCAGTCTGTTCACATTTGTAATGTCTAGTTTCCGGGCATCTGAAGCATGTTCTGCCGAGCACGCCTGTCACTACGCTTGACACCGCGTCACGCGTGATGCAGACATCACCACGCAAATGTACTATTTATTTCAGCATGGCGTCAGCGGACGAACAGGAACCACCGCCCGATGATTTCGAGTTCGTGGACAGCGGAGGCGCGCCACCCGCCTCGAGCACCGGCCTGGCGGCACTGAAACAGCACGTGGCGCAAAACAAGACGGAGTTTGTCATGTGCTGCTCCAGGACACTCCAGATCATTGCTGCACTAGCATATGCACTACCCGCCTTCATGTAAGCCAACGACACTTTCGTCCGCTCTTGCCAAGACCCGTTGGTTGGGGGAAGGGGGTTGAACCATGTGCATTAGGGCGTGCCATCAGAAACAAAACCAAGTGAGACAATGAAATACTTTGGCGCTGGAATCCGCAAGTACACGGAATAGCAAACGCTTTTCCCAAAACCTAAATTAGTGAGGTGCGAGTCGATCGAAATATCGACGTAAACCGACATCCGGCGTTGCAGTCACCCAATGCTGGGCGTCGTCCGCCGCCGCAGGTAACGTCAAGCCATGGGCGGCAAGCGACACAAAATACCTTGCGTAAAGAAACGATACTACTGAGCGCTCCTTAAGCCGTCGTACCGGAATGTCCCGGTCTTAAGTCTAATATGTGGATCAGACATTGCCCCATTGATCGCCTTTTGGCAGAAACTTTATGTGCTGTTGAGTATGAACTCGTACGAATATGCTGGTTAGTATTGCTTTAAGCTCTCACTTCTCTAAGACAACTCACGTGATGCAAACAGAACTACGTTTAGGATGTGACTCAGAATATATTGTCTGGTGTACAACTTAATACATACGGTAAGTTTTGCAGCATGTACCACGTACGTAGAGGGGGGCGGGGGGAGGGGGGGGGGGCGGTAGGGTGACCCCATGCACATCTTGCTCCTTGCCGAGCCTGTGTAATCGATGCACCGGCCCAAACAGCGACTGCTCACAGACTGGAAACCTAAAACGCGTGTTGGCAGAGATCACACAGTAGCAGAAATACCTTCGCAGCTGGGCTCCACATATTGCCGAAGCTCCAGCTCCAGCCCCAGACGTCCTCGGCAGTGCGGCGCTGCGTCGCACTCCTAGTGTGAGCCAGATAGGGCAAGATGGCCAGCGGTGCCTGCACTTTGTTCCGCAGCACGCAGTCGCTGAGGTTTCGCAGTGCGGGCTGTGTGACTGGTACGTGCCAGGGAATCAGTTCGGTGTACATCACGGCCCCAAAGTTTACCGCTGAGATGACGAAGACCCTGGGCTGAAGAAGGCCCTCGATTTGCTGTTCACGAGCGGCGCGACGATCGGAATCGCCTGTTCGCGAACATGCGGTTTTCCTCTCACACCATGTCCAGCAGCAGCTGTTCCGGACAGACCCTAGCAAACGTTACGCTTGAGAACTGGCAGCGCCGTGACATATGTGTGCTGCGTCAGGTCGCGGAGCTGCGCGATGCTCCGGAACAAGTTGCGTAAGCCAAAGCCACAGCCGCTTTTTTGCCCGATGGCGGACCATACCGACACATAGTGGCTGACCACGCGCTGGACGAGGTTCTTGAGAGCGCTGCTAGAAGTCTCGGTAGAGCTGTGAGCTAGGAGCAGACCAGCGGCCAGTGTCAACCATTTGAAAACAAAAGCGAATATATTAGAGCAATTCGCTACGGACTGAGCATTAGATCATACACAAATTATTGCGCCTCTTAGGGTATGTAATTATGGTGCTATTCAGATTCCTCAAATGTGACGGAATACATATCAACAAATATGCTAGTCAGCATGAACCAGCCAGCCAATGATGCGGCATACTACGGCACACGGTATGATTAATAATAAGTAAATGCTCAACAGTGAGCACACGAAATATCGATTGATACTTGGACTTAAAACACTCATTGCTATAAACTCGAAGATAGTGCGTACTTACATTTACCTGAGATGGTTCGATGGTCCGATTCGCCGCTGGGCTGCCACGTTTCGGACAAAGCGTTTTCGAATGACGGAGGCCAGAAGGTACAGCAGCTGCTGGTTGGTGCTCAGCTGCTGAATCAGGTCGACCGGCAGGTTTGGCACGCGCCCCGACCTGGGATTGAGTGCCACAACGTCCCTCTCCCAAGCGTCTCCGGCACATATCTTGTTGATGGGTACAGAAAAAAATTCATCCCGTGGTCGTGCCGTCCAAGCTCAGCAGCAGATGGAGGAGGCGCAGCTCATTGCTACGCAGCTGGCAGATGAACCAGTGTACGGGTGACTCGATGGCCAGTCCAAACAACCGGAACACGTCGCCTGTTGTTTTGGTGTTGATGGCGGTGCCATCGCAGCGGAGCACATTGATGTGACCGTCGCACTGCGGGGTCACGGAGTGCAGCTCGTTGAACAAGTGCAGGGCGCGGCCGAACTCGGACGCAAAATGAGTCATCTAGCGGCTGACTGGCTCAGTGATGACAACCACCTGTTTTTCGATGGCATTCGTCTGGTCCGTGTGATTCATGTAGCTCCTGCCTTCGCGGACCGTCGGAGTAGAGGGTGGTCAAACCTGACTCGTGGATTATTCCAGCGTTTTGGCGAGCCGCCTCTTTTCTCCCTCTGTCTCCTGCGCAGCAGATCTCCTTAGGATCTACGACATTTGATTTCGAGTAGTCAGTCCATCTCTGCTGTCTTGTTGAAAGGCGATGATAGCAGCAGCGACCCGTTTCGGGCCACTGTAGCTGTCAACCGCCAGAGCGGTGGTAGTCAGATCGTTGACGTTATAATCTACAGTGGCAGTGGTCTCAACCGGAACGAACAAACGGCGTCGTCACCATCTTCCACCACCATCTTGTACGGAACCGCGAATGAATACATGAATCCGTGCTCTCAGCTGACTCCAGCGGTGAGACCACTTGGTCCCGGAGCAGGCTCGGGGTCAGCACTAGCAGCCAGCGCTGGCTTAGCAGGCGGAGCGGGCTCAGCAGTCGGCGGGGAAGGCGACTCAGGTTCAGCAGCATACACCGCCTCACTGGCGGCCGAGCCGCGACGCCCCTGGAGTTGTCTGGTCATCCTCGGCACCATGCGAGCCTCCGTAGTCACACTCGTATCCCGATCATATGACCCTAGGGTAAGATTCTGGTGCCTGCACTCGTCCTTCATGGCAACCTACTCCTGATGCACTGTGCAGGCAACTGGGCATGGAAAGCTGCACTGAGGCTTGCACTGGCATTTCGCGGACATCAAGAACTTTGTTGAATTTCGCGGTGGCGGCGTTGCTGTGTCACTCTCTTTTTTCTTTGATTTCTTGCTGATAGCTCTGCTGGGATGATATCAATCCCTCTCGACCAATTTCGTCCAGTATTTTAGATCATGAGTGGGGATCGTTTCGGTGGTCCACGGTACTCTGATTTCTACCGTCGCGGTCTTGAAGGTGGTATTAGTGAGATTCCTCTTCGATTCGCTCAGTTACTTGATGTAGCCCAAGGCTTTCTCGTAGTCGGCAGCTGGTGGCGGGACAGTAGAGCCGGGTGGTCTGTCATAAGATGTTTTGTGCGCGACCATTGTAGCCTTCGGCATGCTCATGCAAGTATTTGTTCGAAAGAAATGTTGCAGTACCGGCAAAACTAAACTAATAAGCCCATATCTCCGCGCAACAAGCACAAATTGCAGATCGACATCACAATGATGCGTTAGCAATAACAAACTTGAGCATAACCCGGTCCGCTTGGGCATTCTCATAGCCGCACAGCTTTTGGTTTTATCAAAAATTATTGTTCTTTACCAAATTGTTAGCTGAAAAGCTGTTTGGCAATGTTTTGCTGGTGCTGTTCATAATATTATTTCATTCTTAATTTGCCAAGTACCAGTCGTGTGGAAAGTGGTAGCTTTGAGGCTTGTTGTAGGATAAATCCAGTACGTAAAATAGGTGGCGCTAGTATCGAATGCGGTTTTCTGGGCCTGTCAAAGAAAAATTGATTTCGCCTCACGAATATCAACATCGGCGCGGTGTCACAGACCTGAAAGTTTAACATCAACGCGTGTGCCAAGGAAAAACTTTGCCTCAATTGATTCCAAAAGATTCACCCCTCGATGACACACCTCAATGTGCATGCAATATTTTGCACGCACAATGCTTCTTGTACGGTTGTTTTGCTGTTTCGTTTGTTGATGTCTTGTAGTTGGACGTACTTGTCCAGTAATCAAAGTTAAAAACATGGGCTGCAAGGTTGCAGGCAAGCGTTTAATTCAGTCCAAACGCACGACGTCATTGTGCCTGTACGTACAGGGCCAAGACCCTGTATGCACATGCGATGACAATGCAATACCTTCAACCGGTCTAAATGCAAAGCAAGCTGCGGATTGGTGTTTCTGTCGCTCCTAGATTGTGATAACGACTAGCTCGAAAAACAAGCAACGTCCCCACGCCGACACGCCCTGTGAAGCTTTCGACGCTGCAGTGTGTTGGAGCAAAGTTTCCTTGATTCGCCGGTATTAACATGCACAGCGTTTGAACCTCTAAGTAAGCAGGGGCCATCACAAGCAAGGGCCAGCACTGAAGTCACCGGCGTGTGCGGGAAGACAGAGAGAGAGAGAGCACGCCGCCGTGATGTTCCCGTGCGACGTGTGCCGGCAGCACTCAGAACACGGAGAGGTCTGGTCGTGGCACGGCCTCGGAGCCGCAGGCCACGATCGGGTTCTCCTCGTCAGGCCGTAGCATGGCCATCGGCTGCACACCGTCAAAGTCGCCGCCCACGTTGTCGCAGAGGAGGCGCGCCATGCTCGCCTTGCGCAGCTCCTGCAGCTGCGGCGCGCTGAAGCTACCCGCCTGACCGGCGTTGTCGTAGAAGAAGCGGTCGCCGTAGCGCAGGCGGAAGAAGGCGTCGCCGATGATGCACTGGAAGGTGGGGCCGACCTGTGCACCGTCGGCCTGCCGCTCCAGCAGCCCGCCCACGTAAAGGTCGACGTCCTGCAGGCTGTTGTAAACGGCGCGAAGGCCATCCACGGCGTACGGCTCCATCAGCGACTCCAGGTCGGCCCACTCCGCCACCGCCCGGCCCTGACACAGCGTAGCCACGGAGGCGTAGCCGGGCAACGCGTGGTCGCGGCCACGCTGCACACTGAGGGCCGGCAGGTCGAGCGCGCCAAACAGGCGGCCGTGCACACCCTCGTCGAAGCTGGAATCTGTCCGTTCTGCCGGCTGGTCGATCAAGCCGCGCGCCAACCGCACAAACTGCTCGCGCTGCGTGAGTAGGGCCGGGTCGAACTGGCTGGCCACCAGGTCGAC